AGAAGACAATCAAGGTGCGATAGCATCGGCAAACAACGCGGGCTATCACGCATGTACAAAGCACATAGACATCAGGCATCACTTTATTCGGGAGAACGTTCAGCATTTTTTACTCAAGATTGGCTACATTGATACGAAGAGTCAGCTTGCAGATATACTAACCACGGCGCTTGGAACCAAGATGCTCAAGTTTATGCGAGAGGCAACCGGCATCAAGACCAAGTCAGCGACAAAGCATAATCAACACTAGCGGTGAGTGGGAGTGTTAAAATTACACCGCTGAATGCATGTGGAAAATTACGGATGCTGATAACGGACATAATGGTAGTCGCTCATTGGTCTAGATAGATAAGGTTACATTAAGAAGCTTCTAGAAGGATCTAGAAGGACAGGCTTAGAGGATGCACAGAGTAGCGAACTAAGGACCTAAATATATTCACTTCGGTTTTTTGCCATCTTCTCAACAGACGCGAAGAATTATCGTATTCATCGTATTCACCCTCTGAAGCATCAGAATTTGAATTTGAATCATCATATTCATCATCCGAATCTGAATCATCGTATTCGTCGTCAGAGTCAAAACTATCATATTCATCGTCAGAGTCAGAACCATCGTATTCATCATTTTGGTTTGACGTGAATACAGTTTATATTGCTATTCTCTCAATTTAAGAGTAGGGACCGAGTAGTATATCAGAGTAGCGCGTACCAGCCCGTTTCTATCTTTGCAAAAAAGGGGCTTATTTGCGCTACTTCAATATACTACTTGGGCCTCGCGTAAACGCTCGGCCCCAAATAACAATTAATTATCGAAGAAACAATATCCACCAGAATATAATCACCACACATTCAACACAATGTCGAACGTAGTTGCATTCGGCAAACATAAAAATAAGACAATCCTTGAACTCCTAACTACTGATCCAAGTACATTCTATGGCTATCGAAGTAGCCCTGGCTATCTGACAATCTGTTGGTTCTCGCAAAGCGTCGGAAATTCCTTGAACTTGCCAGCCACTTCACTCTTGCTCTTGATTATAGAAATCGCCACATATCTTGAAAAATCATCCACAAATGTATGAGCTAGGCACCACCCTTCGAGGAGGTTCTCATAGGTCCCATGACAACTGTGTGTACGCGTTCCAGCACACGTGTCGTTTTTGTCATTGAGCGAGATGGAAATGCCATGAATGTTTGCTTACCCTTTAAACACCCATCACACAATGTTTCCTCATTTTGCCTGATTATTGGAATTCTTTTTGTTGAGCGTTGTGTCTTGACCAGCGAGTCCTTGCTGGGGTGTCCCATGCGAGCATGCCAAAGCTCCCACTGTTTGTCAGCCCCAAAAGTTATAATGAAATATGCTTCCTCGTGTTTTCAGTCAAGCAATACGACTTCCCGACTCTTGTACTTGACGCAATCGCTTGCTTTTTGTTCCAGATGACACAAGACGACCGCAAAAACTCCACACTCATACCACGCTCCGCAAGCTTGCCAACGGATAGTCATCTTCTGCCCAATCCGGGAATGTGCAGAACATCCACCATGCGAATGCCCTTTCCGTCCAATCCAGTCAGTTTCACCGTGTCAGCTTCTCTAACGAGTGAAATCTTCCCTTCTGCAATCGTGACTTCAATGCTAGCTTCGAGGCACTTGTAATCAGACAAGCCCTTTCTGTGTGGGGTCATGTGGGAAGTAGCCCCACTGTCAACCAGCCATCTTGATGACTTTCTTTCACCATCAGCAAACACCGTGTCATCGCTGTCGGACCTCTTACTGGCCGGGCAGTTCCGCTTCCTGTGCCCAAACTGGTCACAGTTAAAACACTTGCTCTTATATTCGTCGTTATTGCGTGGTGGACCACCCTTTCGTCCATTGTCCCGTCCATCTTTAAATCTTCTGGCGTTTGCATTTCCGCGAAACGCTTTCTCCGTAGCTGCCTTCCTTTGCAGCTTCTCCGATTTCTTGAGTAGCTTCTCCTTGACTTCGATCAACGTGATGTCCTTAGTATTCTCCACAATCGACGACATCAAGTCATACTCTGACGGCAGACTGCTGAGAAGAACCACCAGTTGACGTGACTCGTCAACTTGCTCTCCCGTAGTCTGGAGTCCCACTACCAGCTCATCAAAAGAGTCCGGATGCTCTGCCATACTTGTCCCACTTTCCATCTTGAACTCGTGCAGTTGAAGAGTCACCACCACACGGTTGTGTAGAGTCGAGCGATTGTAGAAATGGCGGAGGGTTCCCCATGCTTATATACCGCGCGTAGCCGACCGAATCTTGGTCTGGTGCTGGATCTCAACGCCTTGAGCGATGTTATCGAGCGCCTTGGCATCATTTGCCAGCCAGGCCTCCGTGACGTCACTCTCTTCTTTGATGGCCATGATGTGCCCCATCCTCATGTTGAAATTCCAGTCGAGTATTCTTCGTTGGCTCTTTTTTGTGAGTTGAATCGCTGCGTTTTCGTTTTGAAGGTGTTGGTGGTGTCGGTTCTTGAGCTAATGTCGATTTAGATGGCGAAAACACCCTTGAAAGTTTATCAGTCACATATGCAAGCACACCGTTGGATGAAGAAGGAGCAGGATCGGCTGGAACATCAATAGGTGAGGCGGCTGAAGCAACAACGAGGGTGGTTGAAACCTCAACGGGTATGGCTGGAGCGACTGGAGGAGTGGATGGAGTATCGACAATCTCAAAGCTCGTGTCTTCATTATCTCCATCACCCAAAGCTTGCTCTAAAGCATCAACAAAGCCAGCGCTCGAGCCTTGCTCCATGAGTTCATCAATGCGTGCACGGAGTTGGTCATTCTCGGTCTGAAGTTGTTCATTTTCGGTCCGAAGT